GCTGATGCTATAGCAGTTCAGAAGATTTGTACTAATCTGATGCTATAGCAATTCAGAAGATTTGTACTAATCCGATGCAATTGCTTATTTATTGTGACTCCAAAGAAATGCCAGTGTCCCTTTTGTATTTATTCATGTCTAAAAGTGATTTTTTGCTGGTCTAAATATTGTTCCCCTACATCAGGCTGCCTCATGATGCTGACCCTGATTGTATTTTCGTTCAGTCTCACCATGCCTGTTTTTTTAAATTTATATAATGCAAGTTTCCAAATGAGTAAAACATTCTACCCACATTCCAACACTTAAACTTGTTGCATCATTTAATTTTCATAAAGCAGCATAATGCTGTTTGAACATTACCTGTAGCACATCAGACTTCCTTATCTATAAAGATACTGTTAACCCACATTAATGTAGTTTACACTAAGTATATAAGTTATATATTCATTCATAATCATACAAGGGATGGCTAAAATAGTCTCAGCCCTGTTTCTTCTATTCATGTGTCCATGGTTTCAGTCATTTTAATTTAAAGATGGAATGCTTGCAACAGAGAAAATAGCTTATGACACTCCCTATCCACCGCAGGTCATAGCACAGAATTTATAGGTATTCTGTAGATTAAGCTACATGACAGAACTAAGTCACCTTCTAACAATCCCCACCACCTATTTAAGTGCACTGCTGCTTGTGGGGTAATTAACAACAATGGCTTTTTTTCTGGGTATATGACACATCTTCACTTTCCGTTTGATGCTTACTGTTTGGATATCAAATTTAAAAAAAAATGGCTATAAAACAGACTAAAGAAAAAACACTATACTCTCCTATTTTTTTAATAGACAAAATCCCAGGATATAAGTGATCTCTATATCTAGAACTAACCATCTATCTACCACTCAGTGGGCACATTTAACAGTCACATAGCCTTCTCCTCTTTCCAATTTCAAATATGCACATAATACAGTGTCTTAGAAATTATAATCTTGTCTCTGCAGTATGAGTGGCATTATTGTCAACCAAGGCAAGATAAAATGGTTCTTATATAGAAAATACAAATACAGAGTCAGAAATGAAACAGTTTATTTTTATTAAAATGGTAGTCACTCAATGAATGTATCACTCAAGTATCTTAGAACTTTTTATTTGGAGAAATACAGCAACTTAGTTTCAATATCTAAAACACACAGATACATATACACATGGAATGCTACAATGTCTCAAACTCCAGGGCTGCAGAATATGGCTCAAAACTTCTGGGCTGCAGCAGAAGGAAAAAACTAATTTAGGAAAACTAGACAAGGTCCAGATTATGGGCTTAGGAATAACACTCAGAGCTGTGAGAAGCACACCCATAAAAGAAATGGAGAAAATTGCTGACTTAGAACCCCCTTGGACTTCACAGACACTACGCAAATTTCACTGAGTTTGAAAAGAACAAAAGGCTTCCAAACCATCTGCTGCACCAACAGTTTCAAGAGAGAACCAAAAACAGACTGTTAAGATGGAGTCTAAACCATCATGTATGAAATACCTTGAGGCAACGTGCAGACATAATAGAAACCAACACCGTGATTTGTGAAGCTGTCACACCAGAACCTTGGGTGGGCTGTGTGGACATATCACTACAGCTCTGAATATCCCAGTGATCTCCAAAGGAGAACAGTTAGAACAAAGAGCTCTTTCACTCTAAATGCTCAGAAATCAGTATTGCCTTCATTTTTACACGTTTTTACAGATGGTTCCACTAAGGATGCTAAACAAAAAAAAAAGAGACGAACTGGAATCAACATTACACAGCCAAATGGCAACACAAAGATACACTCAGTAGCAGCAGGAGAAGCTTGCACAAACTTAAGAGTAGGGGCAACTGTCCTTCTTTCATCTGTGCAGATTCTCAATAGTAGAGCAGAATTGAATAATTAAATGGCCCCAAAATCGGTCCTCCAGGCCAGCAGAATTGAATAATTAAATGGCCCCAAAATCGGTCCTCCAGGCCATCTCATGCTCTAAACAGGACAGCATCAAAAACAAAACTTAAAAAAAAATCAGAATGCTGTTCACAGGAACCAAACTAGTCCTCAGTAGATACTGGCTCATTGTGGTATCTCGGTAAATGTTTAGACAGACAAGTTTGCAAAGAGTGCAGTAAATGTGTACACAGTTTCTGCGCAGCAACATCAGTTAAATGAAAGCATTTTGTGTCCTGTCTCTAAATATTTTAAAAGTTACATTTGTTTTTATGAAATGTTTTCATTGCCTCCAAGCTGACACAGATTTAAAGATGTATAATGATGATCTAGTGGTTCTGTATTGTCATTTGGATATACTTATTATGATAAAATATTTTTCTTAATATTTCCAGATAATCAAATGTGAACATTTGGTAATAGAACAAAAACAGCAACACTAAAATATATTTTTGCTGTCTTGCATTATTCTTGCATTATAATCTGTGATATCAATTTGATTTTGTTACATTTAAATTTGGATACTATATGTGGTTTTAAAAACTATTTTGCCCCATACAAAAAAAATAATATCCTTGTAGTCGGTCAGACTTTCATTTCATTCCTTGGATCATTCTGAAGTATATTGTCTTTAATTACAGTTCTGTTAAAGTAATGTTCCTCTGGGGCTTCTGAAGTGAGAACTAAGAAGTAAACTATGTCTTTAATTACAGTTCTGTTGTAGTAATGTTCCTCTGGGGTTTCTGAAGTGAGAACTAAGAAGTAAACTATATTGTCTTTAATTACAGTTCTGCTGTAGTAATGTTCCTCTGGGGTTTCTGAAGTAAGAACTAAGAAGTAAACTATATTGTCTTTAATTACAGTTCTGCTGTAGTAATGTTCCTCTGGGGTTTCTGAAGTAAGAACTAAGAAGTAAACTATATTGTCTTTAATTACAGTTGTGTTGTAGTAATGTTCCTCTGGGGTTTCTGAAGTGAGAACTAAGAAGTAAACTATATTGTCTTTAATTACAGTTCTGCTGTAGTAATGTTCCTCTGGGTTTTTTTTTAAGTGAGAACTAAGAAGTAAACTATATTGTCTTTAATTACAGTTCTGTTGTAGTAATGTTCCTCTGAGGTTTCTGAAGTAAGAACTAAGAAGTAAACTATATTGTCTTTAATTACAGTTCTGTTGTAGTAATGTTCCTCTGGGGTTTCTGAAGTAAGAAGTAAACTATATTGTCTTTAATTACAGTTCTGTTGTAGTAATGTTCCTCTGGGGTTTCTGAAGTAAGAACTAAGAAGTAAACTATATTGTCTTTAATTACAGTTCTGTTGTAGTAATGTTCCTCTGGGGTTTCTGAAGTAAGAACTAAGAAGTAAACTATATTGTCTTTAATTACAGTTCTGTTGTAGTAATGTTCCTCTGGGGTTTCTGAAGTGAGAACTAAGAAGTAAACTATATTGTCTTTAATTACAGTTCTGTTGTAGTAATGTTCCTCTGGGGTTTCTGAAGTAAGAACTAAGAAGTAAACTATATTGTCTTTAATTACAGTTCTGTTGTAGTAATGTTCCTCTGGGGTTTCTGAAGTGAGAACTAAGAAGTAAACTATATTGTCTTTAATTACAGTTCTGTTGTAGTAATGCTCCCCAAGGGTTCCTTGGGTACGAACCAAGAAGTAAACTGGTATACACCAAATTACAGAATAAAGCAGTATTACAGTGCAGATTACAACTTACTTCAAGTTTTGCAGGAAACTAGTTCACTGCTGTAATAATTGGAGCAATAAAGTTGTTTAAAGGCAAGAGGGTTAGCTTCATACACCAGGTACTATCCCAGATGGTTTAGTTTTGCCTCAGCATAACAGTGTTAGCCAGCCAGAAGCAGAGATCTCCAAAATACATGCACTTATGTCCCAAAGACTCACTACTTTTGAAGTGTGAGGTCAAAGATTTAACCACTTTGGCATGGAAACCTCTCTGGGAATAAAAAATAACAGGTAAATGCTTAAGATGAGGCTTTTCAAGGAGTTGAACATGAAACACTTACAAATATTACAAAAGTACATTAAAAGATTCATTCATTTATTTTATTTATTTCATAAGTAATACACTAGATGGGTAGTGTTTAACTCATATGATTTTATGTAAAACTTTTGCTGTTTGTTTAACTATATTCTCATTATTATTAACACACATATTTAATTCATTCGGGAGAAAAAATCTTTCTATGAAAATGCTTTAGCATCCGTATGTAACAGTTGCATAGTAATGCATTCTTAACTATATTTTAGATTATTAATTGTTCACTTCATTATTACTTCATGAAATAACTACGTGACTGATGATTCAGTCATTAAATTAAGTTGTTGGATTTCAGTTATTTTAAAGTAAATTTTTGTTGCATTTAAAAAAAAAACATTTTATTTATCTTTATGTATGTGTCTGTGACTCCTTGTAAAGGTAAGTCGGAAGATGTGAACCATCGTCATTGCACACGGTTATAAACCATAAGTGCTCTGCCACCAGTGCGGACAGCCGATAACATTTTTTTTGCCTGTGTCACGGTCCGCACGTAACTCCGTAGCTACAGCGACGTTTCTCCATTTACCTCAGATTGTTGACTCTGGTACTCATTTCCTAGAGGCTGGGTGAACTCCGGTTTCGAACACCAGCCATGGGCTGCAGTGAGTCACAGCTGGATTTGAAAGCTAGTCTCCTATCGACTGCGCTAACTCAGTTAATGAAAATAAATACCTTATGTAGAAAATGCTGACAGCAAAATCTGATTCACTAGGAAAATGGCAAGCAGAATGTGATGAATATGTGTTTGACATAAAGGAAGTGTGTATTAGCAGATGTTTTCTACAACAGCTGTAGTTTTGAAATGAACATTTCTGGAACCATTTGTAGCTTGAAGTTTGGAACAAAATTAAATGATAATTTATCTCTCTTAACAATGTGACAGCTTCATCATTTTGTTAATGAGGTTTTTATGTTAAATAATTGTTAAAATATTAGAGATGTTTAATATTCAGTATCATTTTTTCAGGTTTGTTCAAGCATGCCTCTGTAGATACAGAAATGATTGAGGTCAATGACAGAGTAGTTGTTGCTGGACAGAGGAAAGGAACTGTACAGTTTATTGGGGAAACACATTTTGCTCCTGGTATGTTATTACTTTATATGACATGCCACTGTTAATTTAAAGTTTACAATATGCAGACATTTGTGTGTATGTTTGGTTAGAGGGCAGGTAGTTAAGGCACTTATTGTTAGTACTTATGGACTGCTGTCGCTGCTTCCTCATGAATTTATACTTTTGCGATGAGTGTGAGTTTGAATCTCAACACTACACCTCCATATGAGATACTGAGCTGGTGTCTGAGTTAAGTTGATATCAGACAAAGTCCTGGCTATGCAAGAAAACAGGCTTAATTGGCAAAATAAAAATAACAAGAGCTGCACATTGTACCCATGGCAGAAGAATTAGGTTTTAGACGTCTAGATTAATTAGTAATTAGGTTGACAAGGCTGATAACCTCCCAACTACCTCCTCCTAGTAAAAAATGAGAAAAAGAAGCCCCCACCAAATATGATTCTGTCTAACAGTTTAGTAAAGCAGGTAAGAACATGTACACTTGGAATTTAGCAAACAATATAGTTTAAAACCTTTAATTTATTTATCATGTTACCAGTGATTGGTTGATATTTGTCATTTTCCAGTATTTGAACAAACAAGTAAAGACTTATGGCATGGTTGTAATGAAACTGATGATTTGTGAGTTTAGTGGGAGATTTGTGAGTTTAGTGGGAGATGTGTGAGTTAAGTGGGAGATTTGTGAGTTTAGTGGGAGATTTGTGAGTTTAGTGGGAGATTTGTGAGTTTAGTGGGAGATTTGTGAGTTTAGTGGGAGATGTGTGAGTTTAGTAGGATGTTCTTATGATGATAAGTTCTAATTTTAAAAAAAAACACCTATGATGGATATAACTTTAGAGTCAAGTAAAGAAAAACCTCAGATACCCCTCAGTTTGAGGTTCTTTCTTATCTTTTCCCAGCCTCCTGATCTTGCTACACTTAGTAGGATCATACATTGGACCATTTGCTTAGGATAGGTCCTTGCCCCTGTTGGGAACTGCAAAAAGACAATCAGCACTTTGCCGGATAAGACTCACACAGCTAGGATAATTTTCTAATGTTGGTCCTTGTCCTGGTTTAGGTGGCATGCGGGGGCAAAGTCTAAATTGATCTCAAGACTCCAATTATAATAATTTTTTATTCCTTCACAATTAGCATAGTTCAGCTCCCCCTCTTTTCTGATCAAACTTTAATTCAGGAGAGACTTTAACATCTAAGCTACCTTCAAGCTACAGTAGTCTTTTCAGGAATCATCTTTGACCCGCAATCAGATGGTGTGGATTTCTGAGTAAAGGTGTCCTTGTTCTAACAAGACAATACTTCATCCCATTCTGCCCATGCAGTTGTTGGGGAAAAAAAAATCCAAGACCTCCACTTACAGTGTGTACCACATCCCAAACACTCACCGGACCTAGCTCCAATTTATTTCCAAATGTTGGGACACCTCAAAGAGTCATTGGGAGGAAAGACTTCTATCCAATGAAAAAGTATAGCAGGTGGTGCACGAGTGATTACACACGCGACCTAGATCATTTATTCTGCTGGATTCCACTCAGTTTATTTATTGGCGCAGGGTTGCTTGCACTGAACACAGTGATGACTACACTGAAAAATGATACATGTGTTCTTTATCTTTTATAGAGTATATTCACACACTAAATAAAAAAATTAGTGTTTTTTTTAAAAGCTCCCTCATAATACCAAAACACCATTGTAATTATCATGCTGCATTATAATCGTATTTCTCTGTATGATTTTGGCATTGATCTGATATGATAGAAAATATAAGTATGTTGTTTTGTTGTAGGCATATGGTATGGGATAGAACTTGACAGACCAGTTGGAAAAAATGATGGGTCGGTTGGTGATGTGCGCTATTTTTCTTGCAAGGCCAAGCATGGGGTGTTTGCACCACTCACCAGAATACAGAAGTAAGTCCCTAGCATTAAGAATAGTTATTTAATTTTTTAATAAACAAGCTAGGCAGTGTCATTGAGTTCGGTGACTGAATAAATTTAGTTTAAAAAAAAGTAACAATCTTTTTTCACGCCTTGGGCGCATCGGGCACATGGGAAGAGCACCCATATTTTAAAAGACCGATCGGCACTATGTGGGTAATGTGGTCGGCATTGCGCCGGCAATCTTTACTTTCCCTAGACATACATCATGGTACCCATTTTAGGCTTGGTCGACCTGCGACGCCCCATACCATGATAAAAATCCACACAGCCAGCAATGGGTTTCAATCGCGGTACGTTGGAGTTACAGGTTGGACTCACAACGCCTAAGCCACGGATGCCACGGTATTATATTAATAACTGTTTTTAATTTGTTTACATATCAATATATTTTTGTGTCATAATCTCATAACCTTAAATGTAATTGTTAATGTTACGGTTTATTATTAAATTGGATATTTTTTTTCATGCACAAATTATTTTATGTAATTTTGTCATTAAATTATGATATGCATTGACTCATCAGCAGCTTTGAAACATTTGAACAAAGCTTTAAATAATATCTTTTTAATACCAAGTTAAGAAAGACAGTTAAATGTTAACACATGCCAATGAAAGTTGGAGAACCACTGAAGACATGGAAAGACAGTTAAATGTTAAAATATGCCAATGAAAGTTGGAGAACCACTGAAGACATGGAAAGAAAGTTAAATGTTAACACATGCCAATAAAAGTTGGAGAACCCCTGAAGACATGGAAAGAAAGTTAAATGTTAACATATGCCAATGAAAGTTGGAGAACCACTGAAGACATGGAAAGAAAGTTAAATGTTAACACATGCCAATGAAAGTTGGAGAACCACTGAAGACATGGAAAGAAAGTTGAATGCAGCTGAAAAGTAATGCCTGGCTAAACTGATGAACATTAAACAAGATGAATTCAAGAAAGGTGAAGAAATAAGAAAAATGTCTGGACAGGCACTTGTATCATCAATTAAAAGTGGGAAAAAAATATTGCAATATATTGGCACATTGAAAGGTGAAATTATAAGGAATCATCCAAAAGGCATTGAAATGGGAATAAACTACTTTGAGGAAACTAGGGAGTTCAAGAGAAACGTTAGAGAGACGTTAAACATTGTTGAGAGAGACCAAAGGCACTAGACTGGATTTCATCCATGATATCGAAAGGATTGCAGAATATAGTGGAATGGAGGCCTGAACGAGGAGTCCTGTGTGACCTATAACCCCCCAGCAGGATGATGCTGATGGTGATGAATTATTAACTTACAAATAATTTTTGATTTTTATATTATTAATAAATTGTATTTATTCTTTCTGATGGATATGAGCAGGCTTGAGATGTGACACCATTGTCTGTAGTAATACTCTGGAAGGCACTGAATGGCAGCAGTAAACAAATACAAGAACATTGTGGCTGCAAGAATCTCACAAAGAACATTATTTTAAAACTGAGCAGTCAAGACAAGAATGCATCCGAAAATATAATGTCTTTTTCAATATAATGTCTTTTTTCGCTCGCTGGAAATAGATTATCTGTATCCGCAATGTTGCCTCTAGTATGAACTTCATTGTCTGTTGTAATTCCCTCAGTGACCTGTAAAGTTTGGCTTTCACTGATGTTTCTCTTGGCCAAAAATGTTGCTTTGATATGTTGTATTTGGGACAGTCTTGGAGGACTTGAAAATATAATGTCAAAATATAGATGTGGTGACTGTTGTTAGATTGTTTGTCATCAGCAGTGTGCATTCAGCTGTTGTGATTGTGTTTAGTATCTTACTGTGTATTACTTGGTCTTGCTCTAAGCGTAATAATTTAATTTTGGCTCTTTTTAGATTGGGTGACAGGACATTCAGTTCCAGTGAGTCTCTAGATACTATCAGCTGGGGCGCTGTGTCTGAGAAACTAGACAGAAGATTTGCTGGTAAGTAAGGAATGCTGTCCGCTTGTGATATAATTAGCTATGTAATCCCTTATTGAAGTACCCAGTATGGATTTTTTTCTTCTATGAATACAATCTATTCTTCTCTGTATTCACATGTTTCTGATTGCTTGTCCAGTGTCCAGTGTTCAGTGTCCAGTGTCATTACATGAGCATATCTTACAACGTCTAGCTCTGTTTCACTGTATTTCTATTTACTAGGTTTGATGTTTTCCACCTGTTCTCATGTTTTCCATGTTCTCATATTATATGTCTTTTCCCTGATTAATTGTTTTATATCACTAATGGCAGGCATTTCTTATGTCTCTATCGTTATGGTCCAAATACCCTACATTTTTCTTAGGGAAATCCTCTTATTTTCTCTTTGTGGCCAGGAGTTTCCCATTTTCACTTTATCACATCCCATCTGAGATGGACCAATCGTCAGCTCATTTGTCTTCATAACTTCTAGAATGTACCCACGCACCATCCACTCCTGATCTCATGTTTTGGTCGGTTACAATTATAAAGCAACAAAACATATTCCTTTCAAGTGCCCTTTTCTTTCAAACACCAATCACCAAAGCTGTCTCCAGCAGATACTAATTTACTCTAATAGGTCATCAGATTAGCTGACAAACCTGCACCTTTGGACTTGCACACACAAAATAGACTCAGCAACAAGCCTTGTAATCAAATATTAATGATTAATAGATAATAACTTTGAAAAATATTAAGTTCTCTGAAACTTTTGTTTCTATTTAACAGCTACTATGTCAACTCCTCATCGAACTCCATCAAAGTCACTAAAACAGCATAATTTAAGTCTTTCCCGCACACCTGGCCAGAGTCCAGCACAGATATTGGAGCCTGGTGCTACAGTTTTGTGCAACAATGAACTAGGTACAGAAGTTGTTTTTTTCCCAGTTCATAGTTACATTTATTACCAGAAACAACTGTCTAGACATTTCAGGAGATAATCTGCAGCTTCTCAAAAAATGGACTGCAAATTATCTTTTATAAAGACTGTTACTCTGACGTTTAGTGGCATGCCATAATCAAGTTGTTCTGGAATAAATGAAATATCACACTTTCTGTCAAACTTGTGGCTATAGTGAACTACTGAGTTAAGTGAGGTTTGAAAATGAAGAAATTGTGAGCAAGACAGATAAAAGAGTAGACTATTATTACTTGAACATTTTATTGTTCTCATAAGAAAAGAGGCCGATGTTGTATATAGGGTACACATTTAGAAAACATGAGAACGTATAATTGAAATGTTTTTGCCCTAGACCTCAAAGAAACTAAAATAAAGGCAAACCAAAAAACACATGAAGAAGGGAGATACAGAGTAAACTTAAAAATGGCGAGGAGAGGGGGTGAACCGTATGTGACAGCAAAAGGATAGGATATTATGGGCTGAATTGGGTGAGGGCTAATGCTCCATTGGTGGATAAGGGCAGAAAAGGACATTGCAAGATTTCTTGTAGAATTTTCTACTGAATATAAGTCAAATTGTTAAATTAATTGATACATTTCTAGAAAGCCAGTCACTCATGTCATGATGCATTGTTTGAGACAATAACATCTTTAATCAAATCATATAAGCTTGAATAAATAACATGACAACAATCTCTAGCAAAAACCAAGTACAGATAATATAATAATATTCCAATTAAACCAAACATTTCCTTTGTACTACCATTAGTGAATTTAGGCATTTAAAAAAATCTATGGTAACACTCATCAAGTATATAGCTTGAGAAGATCACTACAGCAGTTAGCTTGGATGCTAAAGATGGAGGTACATTCACCAGGTTGCTTCCCTTGCTGCACTTTGCTAGATTAGTATTGTCCTCTACATGTATAACTGAGTTAACAGTTATTCCACAAGTGATTTGATGATTGAACATATTTCAGCGGCACAGTAACTGGTAAGCTGAGCATCCAATCAAGTTGGGCATGTGCCATGACTGAAACATGAAACATTAACTAGTTTGTTTCATATTTCTTCCCTTTTTTCTATCCTCCATGCTTTGCTGGGATTATGAGCATGTTATTACTATTTATTAGAATACCAAAGGTAATTGCAAATTGAGAAGATAAAAAAAAAAAAACAAGAAACAACAATATAAAATAAAGAAGAAAAAAAAAAGTTGAGATCCTATAGAAAAACAATTAATGTTTCACACTGTTTCAATTAATGTGAACACTGTTCACTTAACATATTTGATATGATAACGGTAACATACAAAGATAGATGGTTATACGTGTGTTTGTGTGCGCCTTCTGAACAGTGTTGTCTCTCTACAGATCTTAGTCATTGATGTTACGGATCAGACCTGTTGAGGATATTATTCATGCCACTGCCCCACTCCTTTAGTACCAAGCAGCTCACTGTGTGTTTGCTAGTTACTCTTGATGTGATTTGCTGTTTTTTTAAACTCCTTATTTTCATTGTGTGGGTGGGGGTAGACTCACTGCATCGCTAACAAACATATTTTACATGGCGGCTTATTAGTTAGAGGGGGTTTTCTTCAAAGTTGGGGTGCATCTACTTGAGGGGAAAGAAACAAACAATCTGCATACAGGTAAGCAGATCAGTAAAATGGATGTGCACACAAAACTATATTTCTCGAAAGCGGCCAAAGTCTAGAAGTGGGTGAACAACCAGAACTTTCTGTCAGAGTTTATGGCTGGTAAACCCTAAGAAGACTCCTTATTTCTCATCCATCTGGTAAATGAACTTATTTGACCCCAGTGTTAAAATGTAACTCATTCTGTTATTTGATGCTGTTATTTCAACCCATTAAAACTCTGCCTTAGTCTAAAAAAGTTAAAACTATCCATCTTTTCTTTCAGTCTATTTCTGCCTCTTCTACCTTTCCAGTCATTCGACCAAAGAACACAGTTTACCTCTTTTTTGTTGCTGCACATATTGCTTTACTTTCATTAGCTTCTTGCAGGTGATTGTTGCAAGTTACTCTAGCAATCAAACAAATTTGCAGTATTTGTCCCAGATATCAGTCTTGATCATTTTTGTCCGTCACATACCAAAGTTCATATCTATGCAGCAGAATGAGTTTTGTGTAACATTTCAGAACTCTTTCTGGCATTCCCATTAGATGCTTTTCAACTTCTGAAATTTCCCCTGTGGGTTCCAGGACCCCACTCCAGAGAAAACAATAGACCCACTGCCTCCCCAACAAGCATGTCGTAAGAGTTGACTAATTGAGTGAGTTCCTTCAAAGTCAAAGTGTATCTGCCTGAGAGACAAGCAACCAAAACAGTCTGCATGTAAATAAGCCAGATTTTTAAAAACAGATGTGCATGCAACAATCAGGTTCTGGGACAAGACCAAAGTTCAAAGGTGGATGAACAACCAGAACTTTCAGCCAGAGTTTACAGCCGGTGAATGTGACAAAGAAGACAAGAAGAAGCTTCTGAAATGCAGCCTTTTCTTAGCCTAATCATCTCTTGATCTCTGAGGCAAATCTTCTGCCAATAACTATACATCCTGATCTACCTCAATGCTCACCGTTATCCCCAACATTTTCACCGTGAGAATCATCGGGCTGGGGAGGACACTGTCCTATGCTGATGATGTGGTGTACCGGGAGCAGGTTGCTGGCAGCCTTCTGACAGAACTTGATTACATAAACGGGTGGCGGGATGAAGCGAGAGTTGTCATCTCAAAGTCATCAGTGTAATATTTTTGCTAAACAACCAGCTGTAAGTTTGTTTGGGGATCATGGAGGAACCTTATACAATGAAGTACCTAGGAATATGTTGTTACTGGAGCATGTAGCTCATGTGATAATGAAAGCAAAGGGAGGTTTGATGGTGATAAGGATAGTGGCTCTGACAGACTGAGCAGCATCACCTCATTTTCTTATACCAGGGTCTGGTCCTTTCTGTAATTGATTATGCTCTTAGCTGTAAACAGATAGAGAGATTAAATTGCACATTCGGATTTGCAGGAAGAAGGGTAACAGGTTAAAAAGAGGTAAATCTTGGATGGATCTGGTTGAGGGCATTATTTAACTGGTTTGCTCGTTTGAGGTGGAAGCAGAAGTTTACGCTTTGATTCTTGAGAATTTTGCTGATAGATATGCACTTACTTACACTAATGGGTCCCTCGTTTGACATGTGCAAAACTTACAGGCTTTGGAGGTGATGACAATAACAAAAGCAATGACCTGGCTATTTTTCCCATTCATGCTTTCTAACTGATTCCACAAACATGCTTAAAAGAAGATCGAGACAGGATGGGTTTGAAGGTAGTGGTTGTAATCCCAGGGTAAATCTCTTCTGACAAGAATCAGTTTAATTTTTATGCTATGACACTGGGGTAACAGGAAATGAATGAGTGGATTCGCTTGCTGGCAGGGTCATGGTAGGTACAGGAAAGGCAATGGAACCAGTTGATGTTCTCATTGCTCTCAAGGAGGAAGGACGAGCAGATGGTTCAGGAGAGGGTGATGAATTGGCAACTTTAACAAGACTACAAGAACGTCATGTCAAAAGAGGTGTTGCCAGACATGAACACAGTACAGAGATATTCAAAGAAGGATAGTAAACCAATACTCTACTGGTTTATTCAGTCGCGGTACACTTAAGGAGATACTGAAGATACTTATCGACTTGTCCGATGTGCGGTGAAAATGATAGGTGGATTAACTAAATAATTAACATACATCTATCTATTGTTATGTTTGCCCCTAAATACTTGAATTTATTGATTTCGATAAGCATATTCTCTTTAATTGAAATATCATATGTTGCTGAATGTTTTCTTTTTTGATAGAGCCATTTTGTTCTGTTTTTCTTGAAGTTCAAGGAAAGTGTTTTCCCCACTCCTTATAACCATGGTGTCTAACAGTCTTTACAGATCTTGTGTTTTCATCCTGTGTATCTGTATATGTAGGTTCTTTTTATTACAACATCCAGCTGGTTGTTTTTATTCTTCTTCTTGTAATCACATCTTTGATTTATACTGACAGATGTGTTCTTATGATGAGAGTTCTTTATTTGTTCTTTAGAACTTTGAGTGTTTTGTTGACTTATAGTCCAGGATTCCCTTCTTAATGGGCTGTACAAGTGACAGTATTTTTTCGATTTGAGGTCTTTAATACAAAACCCTGTACCATATCAGAATGTAGAAATTAATAGTATACAATTTAGTTTCAAAAGGGAAGCATCGCCTTAACCTAGTTTCCAAATTCTCTTGTCTAAATTTAAATTAAAGCTAGACAGTGCTTTATCAAGCTAAAATCACTATGAGGTTTAATAAATCTAGTAAGGATAAGGTATAGTGAATATACACCTAATTCCTTCATTAATTATGTCTCAACATTTTGGAACTCAGGACCGGTCGAGATTTCACATAAGGACATAAATTGTTTATTAAATAAAATTATATCAATCAATACCCCAGTTTACGTTTCTAGTATCAAACAAACATTATATCAACCATCAAGTAGATCATATGTTTACATACATGTACATACTAGAGCCTACAATTGGAAGTAAAGAGAAACAAATTTGTCAAGGTGTTTCCCCACATGTGAGCAGGATCTCTCAGTCCAGTAGATTATAGGGGTAAAGAGGAATTAGCAGCCATAGATCCAATTAAAATACTTGTAATAATACTATTCGCTTAGCCCTGGTAGGGATTCTAAACACAATTAGTCTACAGTACTGACTACCAACTTTAGTATGTACTGAGTCAGTTGAGGAGGAAGGACAAAAACGTGTGTGTCTCTCCTCAACCGTGTCTTGAAAAGGAAGTAGGAAATGCTAAAAAGGGGGAAGTAACTCTGAGTCAATCCTTCAGATTCTCATTTACCCTTTTCCGCTGATTAATTTATAAATTCGTAATTTTGCTACAGTAAAGCAATAAGTTAAATGTAAGAATTTTAATAATATTGCCAATACAAAGCAATAATTAATAGGTAAGAAACTGTAGCCCAGATCAGCAGGTCGCAAGAACCTACACGTGGAGCTGTATAACAGAATTATACATGCTGTTAGAAGATAACCATGTTTTATTTTCTATTAACATTCCTGAATTTTTATACTTTCCTAATTAGACAAGACAAGATTAAACTACAATTAATAAACTGCATATCCAGCATTTGTGTATGAGCATTATTTTAGTGATTTTTTTTTTTCTGTTAAAGTGATTTCTGTGTTAACCTTGCATGCTCAGATGAGCATTGTGTGCTATTTATTACCAAATGACATTTACATCAGTGATTTGTTATATGCCTCCTAGCCACAGTGGTAGCTATATGTTTTTTAATGATATGTTGGTTAATCTTTATATCCATTTTACTCTTGTGTCATACTCATGGTCTCTTCAGTGCTAGTAATGTTCTTTTTTTTATGTATACGTGCTGTAGCATAGTCTCTGCTCAAATTATCATCTTGTTTGCTTCCAGTGTAATAATTTGTATACTTTTTACCTCTATTTCAGTTACAGTTATTAATAAAACTGTTGATTCTGTTATTATCATATAAAGTGTATACCATACAACTACGCCATTGTTATAATATTAGAAGAAACGTTAAAAATCAGTAACCATGAAGTTAATAGGGAAACCATGTAAGCACAGTGGCAACGGTGCTGGTTTGGTGGTGTTCCTATGTCTGTTGAGGCAGGAAGTTTAAACATTTACATGGACTCCCATGTTAAGCCAGTCTGACTAGAGTATAAGAAAATGTTCTGGGCAGTAAAGATGGCTAGTTAGGTTATGACCACATCACCCATTTAGTGCCATTTGCTCTGCTCAAATCTGGGACCATAAGCCTACACCTAATATACTGTAAGGCCCTTTATTTGTTTTAATAAGTTACTCATTATAAATTTTAGTAATAGTGTCTCCTCCATTCACGCATATCTCAGAAAGCTCTCTGCTATACATACATGCTGCTCAATGTATAGTCCCTGACATGCAACCTATTATAACTCATCAGTGGTGTTACTGTTTTGTGGAAATGATACTGCTCATTTTAGTTTAAATGACTCAACTTCTGTTTAGCACCTACATCAACAGTTAAACAAAGATGCCAAGCTAAGGAACACAAATTATGAACAATATCAGTGACTGTACTTTTTGCAGTTGACCGGGCCTCAATAGTAGATACAGCCAGAAAATTACAGCAACAGCTGATTCCAAGAATGGAGAATATAAAACAAAGCCATTCAGTTTATTCTTCTTCTTCTTCTTCTCTTCCACCTTGTACCTCAGTGAAGTGTCGGGGGGAGATATAATGTTATTTGATGAGCTCTGTCAAGAGCACTATTAAGACTGATGTTCATTTCTGTAAGGCTGTTCTTAATGCCATCACTCCATATTTTCCTAGGTCTTCCACTCGCTCTATACCCATTGTAACGTTTTAGTGTGGCTCGCTGTGGCAGATAGTACCAGGGCATTCTTGTTAGGTGTCCAAACCACTTCATTTGTTGTTCTTTGATGACCTGTAAGACTGGCTTTATTCCTAGCATTCGTCTGATTTCATGATTTCGTATTCTGTCTTTCCTTGAAACTCCTACAGCTCTTCTAAGGCATTGGATGATGTAAGTGTCCACGTTTGGCATTGATAGCATAGTGTTGGCCAAAAAATAGTTCTGATAAGATTCACTTTAGTATTCCGAGGTATCTGCTTGTGTGTCAACAGGGGAGATAGTTGCCCTGTTAGTTAAGTTTATTCAGGGGTCCAAATGTTAGAAAATAGGGATCATCAGGAGCCAGACGCCCGAGCCTCAGCATAGAAAATTCATTAAGACAATACAGCTGACAGGTGATCTGCTGGCCAGATTTGACCCATGGGCTGCCAGTTGAATAGCCATTATGTGAAACAAATAATTTGGGAATCAGCACATGCGCGCACACACACAAACAACAGCAAAAGTAATAAATGTAGGATGAAATAAGCAGGTAGATTCAATATGAGAGAAACATTGCTGGAAACAAAAATGATGAATCAGGTGAATAAACATCCAATGGATTAAAGCAAGTTTTTTTTAAATTTATTTATGATAGCAGGGCTTTTGATCTAATATAAGAAATTGTTGAGTATCATGAAAAGTGTGAGGTCTTCAGCACATTTTGGTGCAATTAATTGGAAGTTTACATTAAGAAAGAACAAAAGCAGCCATCAGAGTAGCTGGAGAAGTATCAAACTGATTGAAAGTCAAAAGGGGAGTGATGTGGGAGCTTCCTCTCAACCTACTGTTCAGTATGTATGTGGAGGAAAATATAATGAGAAGTGTCAAATGCCTAGATTTGTGGCAGTGTTGTTACACTCATCATTGGCTGCAACCCTATTCCACAACTTCACTATGCAGATGTCAGTTCTCCTTTCAAACAATGTTAAGGAAATAGAACATTTTATCAGGTTAGAGACATTAAGTCTAAAAGCATAATAAAGATCATACCTGTTCCTAAATTTTAAGAAAACAGATATAATGTCCACCGACAAAACTGCTTGTCACCCAGCAGTAACAATAAATGATGAAGAAATTGAAAAGTCAGAAACTTTGAATATCTAGGGTCCATAATAAACAGCAGTGGTGACTGTTCAACAGAAGTTTAAAAGAGGATGGCCATAGCAACATGAAAATTAAACATCATTGAAAGTTTGGTTAAAAGCTCCGGCAAGGAAATTGAGGTCAACATTTTGAGGGAATGCATCTTCCCTGTAGCAACATAGGATGTGAGTCGTGGACAATCTCTCAGTCACTAAAGAAGAACACATTGGTGTTTGAACTGAAATACTTGTCACTCTTGTCAGATTGAGGAAGACAAGGTACTTGCTACTGTATGAGATTGGCTGGTTATTTGGGATGCTGTAGTTGTCAGCGAGAGCCAAGAACTGGAGACAATTCCCCCAAGAGTTTCTGCCAAGCATGTAAAGACTGGCCTGACAATAAGTCTGAAGAAAATAACAGTGATTTGCCACACCAGCTATTAAAATATAGATACAAACTAGAAGTGATCCATATCCACATCTACTTCACTGATGTTGTCAGTGACATACTTGCTATTGATGCTGATATCACTAACCACATTGGCAAAGATGCATTTATTTTCACCTCTAGTTAAATATGAATAGCCACAGCCCAGTCAAGTGCCTAAGTCTAATTTACACCACTTATTCCTACCTTGTAGTGTTCGCGTGCGTTTGCCCTTAAAAGGGTTGTTGGAGTGTTGCATTGTGGTTTACAGCTAGGCTATGATGTTGGGGTATTCAGCCCAACACATCCAGTGTAATGACAAGGAAAAGTAATATCACATTTCATCACAGATAATTGACCATTGTTGCATTTCTTGTCAAATAATTTTGTTGTCAAAACTTTTATTCTCTGTATATTCAGGTGTCATCCGGTACATAGGACCAACAGAGTTTGGTGAAGGAACTTGGCTGGGAGTAGAACTACGCAAGCCGAAAGGAAAGAATGATGGCAGTGTGCAAGGCAAGCGTTATTTCACCTGCCCACCTAACTGCGGTCTACTTGTGAAACCCAGCAGAGTTACAGTGCGAGGCATCAACGGGGCTAAAATCTTGGCCGAGCAGAATGCAGCATTAATTAGCACTCAGATGGTTGGCAGAACCAGCAGAAGTAGTGAGAACTTACATTGGAGCCGATCAAGCAGTCGAGAAGGTTCACTTGTCAATGGAACTGATAGTAAAGAAAAACTTTAAAAGCAATACTTTTTGCTACAAGTTAAAAAAAATTTAATTCATTAGAGAAAAGTGGCTCAATATTTGTCTTCTTCTTAGCATTCACCAGCTGTAAACTCCGGCCGAAAGTTCTGGTTGTTCATCCACTTCTGGACTGCAGTCCTGTTCCAGAACCTGAGTGTTGCGTGTGCATCCGTTTTACAGATCTGACTCATTTGTATGCAGACTGCTGGTTCCTTGCCTCTCAGGGAGGTATACTCCAACTTCGTAGGAAGCTCCCAATTAGTCGACTCTTCTGACATGCTTTTGATAGGCAGTGGGTCTATTCTTGTTTTTCCCTCTAGTAGGGTCCTGGAACCCACACAGGGAGGCTCAATATGATTCTATACTTTCATTGTTTTAATGAAACAAGGCAGTATTCTTTTACCGGCTATACAGTTGAATACATCACAAGCATTGACATGTGTGAGGTGACACTGTGGAGTTTAGGATATCATTACTGTCAGCTGTCACTGTTGTCTGTTTGATCTCTTGTTTAGGGCAGTGTAGCCAAGGGGTCATGAGTTTGAGGTTTTGGAGCCACTTAGCTACTGCTGTCACCATGGACTGTACAAATTAGGATGTTTAATTTTGACCCTGACAGAAAATCTCCATCACCTTGCAAGGTGTCGAACTTAGGTCTTACGCATGAGAGCCTGATGTTGTAACCGCTCGGCCAGTTGCTCCTCAACATTACTGTTATAATTAATGTTATAATATGCTCTTATTGATAAATTTACTGAATTGTATTATTTTAAAAATGAATTAGTTTATTTCTCTAATTTTGGTTTTTGGTTCCTTTTTTTTTCTCCATAAAATATCCTTATGAAATAAGAAGATAAGGTGTTTTTTTTTTCTCTCATAAAAAGCACTGTTAGAATGACAGCTGTGCTAAATCAAAAGCAGTTCATAATGTCTGACTTTAAAATAATAAAATCACCTAGCAAAATAATGTGACACTACAGTTCTGTGAAGTTCTAACCCAGGCTCTCCAAATCTTTTGTGTCGAGGGTGGCGGGTGATTGTTGACAGACGAGGAGAAAGATGGTCGTGACGATAGTGGTTACGTTATGTTGAAGATGATGTTGTGTTACTTGCTTCGTGCCACACACGTGCACTATGTGCTCAAACAATAACAATACTCGTTCTCCAAATTTTCTTGTTTAATATTTCATAGCAACAATGTCACACAATTGAGAAAAATCACCTTGTTCATCTCCTAACTCTATATGTATATTTATAGATTCGCGTTGTGTTCTTTAATTAAACTAGTCTTAAACTGCCACCGGGCTACTAGTGCAGGTTGGGCTAAAAGGTTCATTAAGTAATACTGTCAATCTACTTATCTATACTCTCTTCCCTGCTTAATCAGCCGGTGTTAGTCACTTGTTCTCCTCACTCCGTCTCTAGGCTGTCCCTCATCTGTTCTTTGCTGTCTTCTGCTGTCCTCTTTCTTCTGTCACTGCTCAACTATCCTCTGTTGTTCGTCTTTCTTCTGTCACTGACTGTGCGTGCGTCTATCTGTTTCTGTGAGCTCCAATCCCTGAATCTAAGTCTATCTTCCTGTCCATCTATCTGAGCAAACCGCTCCTCTGGTCTGTCTGTCTATCTATCCGAGCTAAGCGCTCCTCTGGCCTATCCGGCTCCTGCGAGGCTCCCTCTGTGTGTCTATGTCTGTGAGTGTCTCCGTCTGCCTCTCGAAGGTTCCGGGCAATCGTTTATAAAGGGGCCACTAGGGTGCTCCTACTCTTCCTTGTTTTGCAGCTACTGGGATCACCTGATCTGGCCGGGACATCGGTATTTTAGCTAATGGCTTTGGTGTTGACGGGGAGAGTCACATGTCTGATCATGCGATTCATAGTACGTGGGAAAAGTTCTAACAATAAGGGTGAAAGCGGCCAGGGTTTTACCGTGCAAAGCATGCAATACTAATAAAAAAGGGTCGGGGTGCGGACTCTGCTACAATAAAGCTATTCTTTTATTTTAAAATCTTGGTCTCCAATTTAAGCTTAGCTGAAGATAACTAAATTTGTTGCCTTAACTAGTTAAAATTGCCTTTATGTTGTGTTGTCACTGTGATATCAGTCAATGAAAATCACAGACTTCTGTATGCCTTTCAATCTGACATAAAGTTTTACTGTAACTGTTATCATTACTAGCTTTGTGCATCCTGTTTGTAAATAAGACAAAACTGCATTGTATGATTAGTTTTATTTAATTAATGCTACAAGGCTATTGTTGAATATCTATCTTGTCCAAGAGATGTCATCTGCATATGCTATGACCAGTTGAAAGTCTGAGAATTCTATCTTGATATTTCATTTGATTAAATTATATGAATCTTCAAAACATACCCAGAATATGCATTTATCCCCACCCATTTGTCTCAGCCATTTTTCTTTTGATTGTTTGTTCAGTAAAATACTTTTGTTGCAGTTTAAAAAATGTCAGTTTTTTCCTTCCTTCCCATGATTTGCTTCCATGTCACAAGATTCATATAGTTTAACACTTATGATTTTGTGTTATCTAAACAGCTAATAACAAACACCTATAATATTAAATAACCTTAATATTGATCTAATAATAAATGGAGGAGGATATCAAGAAACTCAGGGAAATTTAGATTGTGAACACCTTTTGCAGCCTTCTATTTTAGATGGAAGCTAAACAACATACGAAAAAGTGTTTCTACTTCAGTATAAACAAGATTTGCGGTAGTGCAAGTCATTTGTGGATCGGTTGCATTAGCTATCATCTGAAATACTTGAAACTTTACAGTAACGGATCATTAGATCTTCTGCAAGACTATTCCACCTGAAAGGACATCATCTAGTTTCAGAACAAAACCCATTGCTCTCCTGTATACCTTGAGAATCTTCATATCATCAAAGCACAACCTTCAGCCAAGATTAGGGTCTTGACTTACAGCAGATCTCTCGTAAAGGTAACAAAACGCTAGAATGGAATATTTGTAGAATGAAATAGAACAGAGCCTCGTAGCATTCAAAGATAATCAATCATCTGCTGTCCTCCAAAAGCTCCCTTCCTGCTGTGAAATTACCAGGGAGTTGATACCTTGTCTGTAATGGACAGTAGAGTTGAACAGTTTGGCTTTTTACTAAGAAGCAAGAACTTATCCACAACAATGGAAGAACAGTGTATCAACAATGGAAAAAACAGTGTATCCACAACAATGAAAGAACAGTGTATCCACAACAATGGAAAAACAGTGTATCCACAACAATGGAAGAACAGTGTAGACGTGAACAAAATACTTGATTTAATTCACCAGTTCTAAAGAATCATGCAGACAATCATCTTTCACCTAAGGAGTGGCCACAGCAGACCATCTGGTCAAATGAATCTTCTCTCAGTCTCTCGCACGTAGATGAATGTTAGCTGAAAACATCCTTCAGAACTACACAACTGAAAGAGATGTGCACTGCCAGACATGGTCTTCGTCTTCTGTGTTTGGTCAGCACATTTTATTGTGGTTTACAGGAAGGCTGTATGTAATATCTGCGCATTTCAGCCCGTCACATCCAATTTCAGCAAACTCCGAATTAGTTACTTTTTATGACCTGAGAGCCAAGGTAGTTTTTAAAAATAAAATCAAACTTGATGCAGATTTGAACCCGTGATTTTTGAGCTGGCAGGTGAGCATCTAGCTGCTATACCACCGTTGTGATCGGTCTGTTCTTTTCCCCCCTAAAATGGAGTTCCAAAGAGTGAAAATGGTGGCACACTTTTTTCGTCCGTTAAAGTGAAGGGCACAGATTTGCGCTCGCTTGTAATGTGAAATTTTCATTGGTATGGGATCTGAAACGTGCAGTGGAGTACATGCATGTAAGTTCAGACTCCCTTCAGGATGTATTCCACGTCTGATGGCGACAATTTACCCGGTTAGGACAACCTCTAGAATCAACATAGAACTGACACTATTAGCCACCGGACGCTGGGGTTCATACTGTGGGGAGGATCTGAGCACTTATGGGCATGTCCAGAGTGCAGTGATGATAACCCAACTAACTAACTGAAGTTTCAAAACCCTTACAGGGAGAGATGAAGCAGAAATGATAGTGTTCCCTGGTTGAACTGGAGATGGTATTGGACTTTATCCTGGCAGCAGTTCTGCAGATACAGTATTACCTATGACTTGTGTACCAAAAAGAATATCAGTAACCGAGAACTACTTTATATGTTAGGCATGTGCCTTATTGAAGCAAAGGATTGAAACAAGATGATGTGTAAGGAGGGATTGCTTTGTTGTACTAAAATGTGCCTTATTGTTTTGTATTATTATGATGGACAGAACTGCCATATACTGAGTCTCATCTAACAAGCAGCCCCTATGTACAGTAATTGTCTTTTAAGAAACGTCTATTTTGATATGTGCACTCACATTTTACATTTCATTGTCTGTTTTATGCATACGTAAATATTGTAATATACCATACACAGGTGATTGCTTCACATGTAATGCTTGCTATCTGTCCATTAGTTGCCTGCTTTTATTCATTCTAATTTTCCCTTCATATTTTTAGAATTATTGTATTAAAGCATTCTTTTTTTCCAGAACAGTAAACTGTGTTTATATCTTAAAGAGATCCATGAAACAGCATGGACAGAAAATTGACCGACCAGCTAAAAAAAAAAAAAAATCAGAAAACAATCTGATTGTTCTGCCGGATCTCTTATGTGTACTGTTCTAGACTCAACTATCATAGGTGCCATGAAATTAATTATTTTGGCAACCCTGAATTTGTTTGCAACTGTTCAAGGTTATATTATGTTAAAATTACACAACTATTATATCAGTTTTGTAGAATCCCTTTCTTTTCATTAATTTACTTTTGTTTCAATAATGTCGTGCAACTTAAGTGAGATATTTTTTGTATCACTCACCCCTTCTCCCCCACACACCCCCCCCCCCCCCCCCCCCCCTACAGTAAGGTCCATAAAATAAGGTATAAACCTTTAAT